GGTCCGGATTCCGTCGCTTGCCCTCGAAAACGCTGCAATTTATCTCAAATTTTCGCAGAAATTTGGAGAGTTGTGCGATGAAATTTGGGATAGGAGATCGAGTGCCATGAATTAAATAATAAGAGTATCGTTTCACCCAAGTTAGCACGTGTGACGTCACCTGATGTCACGTAGTTGGATCAAATTTGATGCATGCATCAAACTGATACATCAAGCCTATTACACCATACACCCCTATTAGCTCCATATCGACCAAACACTCCAACAATTTTGTAGAAATCGCCTTCAGAAATGTCATCTATGCACTGCCTCGCAGTTAGAATCTCAGCAACGGCCCTCTAGTCGCTCGAGGGCAAGTGAAAAGGAATCCGGCATCAACAATGGCGTCGACCTCTTCCCCCGTTCCTTGGATATTCGACAATTTTTCTCTGCATTGGCTCATTCCATGACCTTCAAACATTGCTCGATTTTTCTAAACGTTCTATAAGCGATTTCAAACAACGTTTCATCGATAAAATCCTTCAAGGCGACCGTTCTGGGCGATTACTATGACCCCATTACTGCTATTGAAATTGGAGTGCTTAGCACGTTTTCTCCGTTTTCTCCGTCCTTTGAAACTCCGGTCGATTTCATGGTACACTAATACGAACTCGTGTACAAAATTTCATCGGGATCGCGCGATTTCTTTTTGGTTGTGCTTTAAGCGATGAATTATGCACGACAAATAATCTTTGAGGAGCCGCGATGAAACGCTGGAGCAACAGAATATCTCCATATTGCAGCAACAGCTGCTGCACGCCTGCAGAAAAGTGCATTTTCTGCCCGGCTCCATCCCACGGACATCAAGCTCAACGGCTCACCGCGAGACCTAAGCGCCTCGAGGTCAGCCAGCCCAAACACCTGCGAACATCTTGCGGACGTCCACGGGATGAACCCAGTCCCGTGATGGTGCATCACTCGACATCCGAATCACGCGTTTTGGGCACATCCCATGGATGACGTCACGGAGGTGGGCCATGTCGACGTCCGTGGGACGTGCCAGTGGGATGTTCCGAGTACATACTAGGAAGCGTTGGATCATCTCTTTGACGTTCGTGCCAGATTCATCCGTACCGTACCGCATTCACCTTCTTCTCGACATCCTTTGGACATTCATGGGATTTTGCATGTAGGAAATTCATATTCTGCATATTTTGGGATGTGAATTGATTGCCCCAGGGATACAAAACAGAACTTTCGCGAGATGTTACTGTAGGTTAATGGGGTCCATCGGACCTCTTTCTCAAGCCCGTGTAACAACTGTGGACTCTCATGTCTTCATATGATGCTTGGAAAATGTTCTTTAAAAAAAATGCTGTAATTAGGAGTTGGGGCAATAGGTCGATCGCATTCCATATCATGTCTGCAGGATGCGCATTCTTCGACCATAGCATCCTGTGGACATCCTTGGACACACACTCAATCCTATGGCCGCGTGCCACCGAACAAACGGAGCATGTCGTTGCAGTACACCCCACAGACGCCCGCAAGATGAACTACTTAACATCCACGGAACATCCTAATGCAATGTGTAAAGGATGTACCAGGGATGACCCCATGCTTCTAAGGGCTTCTTTGCCGATACCACAGGTACATAATTTCCCCACATCATGGGCGAAAAGAAACATTCTGACTGAAACTGTTCAACATCGAGTATCCCTACACAATCTTCAACATTTCCGGCAACACCTTCCTCGCTGGCCCTGTGCAGACCGGCAGCATTCGAACCACCTAGGAATCACTGGAACAAATAAGGTTCCCACGACTGATACGAGATGGCACTTTAATTGCCGCTGTCGCGAGTCATTCCGTAATGCCACAGGAATGAGTCCCCAGCGATTTTCCAACGATATCCGATCTATCCTCACAGGAAACTCAGAGGAATTACATGGGAATTCTCCCAAAGAGGTAACCCAGCTGATGGAGATTCCAAGCATTTCTGGTGCAAACAGCAGCGTAGCACCGGGGAAGGCATGTGCCCTCCAATTAATAATGAAAAAACGAAAAGACGCATGAAATGCATGAGAAGAATGTCCCAGAGTTCCAGTGCTTCCCCATATTTTCTATCCATGCTACTCTTATGAGTCCAGGGGATTAAGGACGAATGGTCCAACTATGACCTTCACTCCATCGGCGAATACAGAAATTATTCTTAGGGAGTGGTTCCGTAGTTACCCCCCTCCCTCCTATTATCACTACCACTAGCAATACCAATACCAATACCCCATCCATCCACCTTTTCCATTTTTCACCCGCGGTAACCCCTGGAAATTTATTTCACACACCCCTACCAAAATAAATGTCAGAAGTCATATCTTCTAAGATAAATTTTAAAATATTTAAAAATGGATATCGAAGGGGAGTGTACCTTGTACCCGCCACGGCACTCCACAGGGTTCGCATCGCATTGCATCAGCCGTCGTGGGCCGTCTGACTCCTACAGAGAGAACAAAAAAAAAGTCGGGTAGGACGAAAGGGTTCGCTCGGTGAGTCCCATCAGACACGAGAGACACACGAGACACACGACCTCGGTGCGAGAAAAGAACCAGCTGTGTGACAGAAGAGATCACAAAGGAATATTTTGTCTTGTGAGAGACGTTCAAGGTGCACAAGGGGAGACCATTGAGAAAAAGAGATACTCGCTTTTCCAACCAGAAATTATGTGAAAACGTTTTCGCAGGACTCATCCATCAGCCTATATTAACATAGTGGGATGCCCATGGTATGCAATGAAGCCGAAGTAAAAAATGCACGGGACGTCAAAGGGATCCATCGCCACTGGTTTTATTGCATGGATAGAATCAGCAACACCCGGTCTTGCGATGACCGTGCAAGATATCTTACAATTGGATTGATGGAGCTGTAGATATTAAAGATATCCTTAACCTTTTCATACTCCTGGTATCATATATGATAAAATTGGATTTTTATATTTTCTTCGCTTATCATGAAATTGAACCTGAGGAATCGTATATGATACATATGACTTCCCCCCCCCCCGTCCGCCCATGCTTCATGCCTGTATCGCTCATGCGCTTTGAAAACATAAGCACAAAATGACATTTTGTCATATACAAAATAATCGGTACCATGTACATGGTGCCGATTGTACTCTTGAACCCTCTGATATCTCATGTGCCATTGGGTTTAATGTTTTCCTGCTCTTACACCCCTAGCATATATGTTAAGTTAATACACAGTAAAGGGGCTAAAAGTGTTCAATTGGTAAGCAAACCCATTGGAAAAGACTTTCTTTGGGTTCGCTTTTTCAAAAATATATATATTTTTATTATGGAATCTTTTGCGACGAAATTAAGCAGACATTACTCCAAAACAGCATATAATACGAAGAAATATATTCAGGACGTGATCGCATTTCGTTTCGGCGATAAACTCACATCCCTCTTTAGCGAGAGAACTCCATGGGGGGGCCCCCACAGCGAACGCGAAACTCGCGCATCGGTCGGATGGCGCATGTGGAAGCGCACGTCAGACTGTGAGCGATTGCATCCATGCACGTCCATCCATCACGAGAGAGACTGGGAACGGGATCGCGAGCATTGTAAGGAACTGCAGGATGTCCGATGATACATTCGTTTGAAAAGCGGGGAATCGCCTGTCATCGTTTCCCGGAAACGCAGAGAATTTATATTACCGAAAGTCGAGGCCCACCCATGAGCATAGAGTACATTTGGAACGCCTCACCCGTCGATACGAAATCGTAGCCCCGTGGCATCGAATGACAGCCGAAACCCAGAATAAGGCAACCGGCGTGTCCGAGGGTTGTCCATCTTGCAATGACATGCACCGCAGAGATTCGAAAGCAGCAGTAGCTCGGCCGGACTCTTCCGTCGACCGGCACCCAAATACCATGTCCTATTAGAATGCAATCTGATACCGTCGGGTGCCATCACGCCGTTAACTAATGTTCCGGGCTACGGACAGGTCCTATACACCTGTTCCCAAGCATTCACATGGTTACTGAGGCTCACAGTGACGTTTTACCAAGTCAACCATCATGTGCATGCGTGGGCCTTGACTTGACAATATAGTGGAGGTGGAGCAGATGCCTAGGTATACTTCTCGGTTACATGGAGCCTCATAACTTAATATTTCAAGCAGCATTTCCATAACGAGTGCTCAAAATCAAGGAAAGACGCAGCGGCGAAATTTTCAAGCAATCCAATTCAAGCAAGATTATGCCATTCACAGCATAGAGTATTCACGCGCAGATCCTGGACACTTGACAAAAGGAAGAGGCTTCGGAACACGGGTAAAGGATTCGAGCCGGAATCACCAACATGTCCAAATCGTGGACGTATTCTCCTCAAATGGAATCTATCTTCCGATGCAATTCACGTCAAGTAGACGAGTCAAGAAAGGGTAGTATCGATCGAGCGCGGGAGTCCACCCACAGAAGCTACAAAATTGTTCATGAAAAAAATAGTCCCATCGGATGGTTCAGCTCCTACCAGTCCCATCTGCCTACCGTTCAACGGCCTCGGGCTGCAAGCAAGCCAACCGACACCTTCGGGCGAACCCAGACAGCTGTAGGACTAGGGGTAGCGGCGGTGGAAAGTGAACGCATTCAGAAAATCGGGAAAGCGGTATCACGGATCGTTGACCAAAAGCTGACATGTACGCCAATGAAAATATTTCTCAATATCCTTTGTGAAACGGATATCGTGCACATTTCATTTTCAGATACTGGCAATGTTTGGATTCTAGATACACGCCTTGGCATAAATGGCTCTCCTGATTATAAAGCACCAACCACGAGCGTGGCTTTCGTTGCCATGTAAGCTTGGAGTCAAGGGTAATGTCTATGATCTTGATTGCATTAATTTCCTTTTTTTTTTAAACAGTGCTTAAAAGAGAATGATTTGCTGAAATGGAAAGCGTGTGAACAAAATAAAATGTTGAATCGACGAGCTGATGTACGAAATGAAGTGAAAAAGGAGCAGAGGCCATTATTTTTTATTCCGTTTCAAAGATACAGTGCATGCGAGATTCTCCTCCTGCATCTGAGATTCACTAACTCACGATATGAACTCATCAAAAAAATAGGGAAGCATTTCAACAAATAAGGGGAAACAACTCATCTCACACACCAGCAGCTTCCTGAGTGAATTAATCCAATCTGTGAAACAACAATCACAATAGGCACTGTGAAACAGAAACAGGCGACAGCAGAGCAGAAAGGGAAGACAAGAATGCAGAAGAGAAGAAACTCAACTTGAATTGACAAACTAGCGACCAATTCAATTGACTGATCGAAAGGGAATAAAAAATAACTAGCACACACTTCTTTCATTTCCTTCTTTCATTTTCTGATCTGAAACAACATTAATATTTGAAACAATTTCATACAGATAATGGCATCATCCTTTCTTCTGGGCATCAGAAGACACAAAAAAAAGGAAGAAAAGCAGGCCTATAGAAATGTACACACAGACAGGAGAGGCAGAGGAAAAGGCAGGCATTCAAATTGCCTTCAAGCTGATTTTCAAGTCAGCATTCATTAGACTAGACGATTAAAAACATTAGCAGTGATTGTGGAAAGATTGTTGTGTATGTTTGCATGTGTGATGTGTGTTGTCCAACTCTGCAAAGAACTTCTCCAGATACATCCAACATAGCCAATACCTGTCTCACTCTCTTTTGCTTCCTCTATCACACATTTTTGTCGGGTTAAGGCACACGAGAGATGTGGGACGGCTGCAGGGTTTCCAGGACGTCAGCTCTGCCTCTCTCAAACCCAGCCTCCAGTGAGTTTGTGAAAGAGTTCCTCATTCAGTGTCTGATTCACATCCTTGGCACGCATGGACAGGAAGATATAGCCTCCAATGAACTCATGAACCACTTTGCAGTCTGCTGACAGGCAGCTAAATACCACTTTCTCTTCGTCAAACTCCACAATCATCTGCTTTACCTCCCAGTTTATGTGCCAACTCTGTGGAGGAAAAAATAAAGAATGAGATTCTGAGAAAATTATCCTCTCAAATCAACATCTCAACAAATTAGCAGGACAAAATATCCAGGATAGCCTCATCATGAAATAAAGGTAATTTCTCACCACAAGAAGACCATTTGTGTAGATACATTAATCTCATCAACATTATCTCCAAGGACTTTATTTTCTGTATATCCACTTATGCAAGGTATCATAAAACTGCTTGATACCAGGTACCATATACATTGAGGAGGTCATGGACTGTTGAAAGCCCTACTCTGAGAGAGATAGAAAAGGCCAACAACTTCCTTGAGTACTGTGCCCGGGTATCTAATCGGGACAATAACAAGGGGGAGATAAAGGCTGTATCCAAGGCCTCACCTTCATTGTGTTGAACCTCCACGTCTTGATATGATTCCCTGTGTGGGGGTCCATCCGCATGAGCTTGTTAAAGGCAACACCAAGAAGCTCTTCCTTCTTACTCCCAATAAAATTGACAATGAAGAGGGAGACACCATAATCAGGCAGGGACTGCCAAGCCCTGATGAAGCTCAACTTGGCATCAACCAAAGAAAGCCCCTTCACGTTGGCATGAGCTTCCAGGATGCGTTGCACCAACTATAAAAGAGTTTTATGTGAACAAATGGAAGTCGGAAATCTTTCTGAAAAGAAATACAGTGAATGTTTCCCAGATGCAATCAAGGTTAACAAGAAAATAGACACTTCAACTGAATCTAGCATTAATATCCAGTTAGATAACTAGGGAACTACTGCCAAAAGTAGTGACCTAAATGACATTGTCAACATCTTGATATACTCACTATTCAATCAAAGAGATATTAGTATTAATAAGCTTAATTTTTTTATTGCATCATCTATGAAAGCACATGCTAAATGGATCTCAGTAAGCTTTACCGAATGCCTTGCTGGAACACAGCAGTCTTGCTGAAAAAGACAAGGAATGATGGAAACTTATTCTAGTGTTAGAATAAAGGAAGATTAACAGGAAACTGATCTGTAGTTTCTCATGATCTAATTTGTTTTAAAAGATAGGAAACACAGTATACACAAAATTGTGAAAAGCCAGCTTGGCTCAAGCACCACACCTGTATAGAATTCATTGGACAGGAACACCCCACCCCCATGGTGCAATCAAGCTAAGGGCAGCTCCTAAGTTGTCTAAGCCCAAGATTAGGACAACAGATTATTAAGGTGCACTGCACCTTTATCTCTCAGATATGGCACATAGAGTGCAAACATATTTTTACCCAAGTGCTAAGTAGATATTTCCCAAAAAGTGCATAGGTTGCCTGCCAGCAGAGAAAAAGCCTGTCACTGTACTGACTCAACCCTCCACCTCCTGAGTTTGAGTTTGAAGTCCTTACCACTTGGCCACTGTACCTTGAATCCAGAGTAACTCTTCATCTCTAAATAAAAGTCACCATTTAAGGAAATACATATGTAGAAGTTAGAAGTTACCTTGCCCTTGGATTTCCTGAGGAAACGTTGACTAACATAATCTTGAGGATTTATGTCATATGTATTGGGATTGATGGCTGGAACAGGCGCTGGATGCTGCATTGCCAAGAACGCTTGAATGGATTTCACCTCACTATCGTAAGAACTGTCTGCCAGGGACTTCCCCTTTGCTGCCAGCCGACAGGCTGCCATCCAGCGAGCATACTGATTCTCCTTTGAAGAACATCATTTGTACCATGATAAATGATCAACAATGGTATCATACTTCACTCAGTTCTGAACTTGAGCTTACATTGTCACAACGAATCCACATCTCAGCCATGCCCTCCTGACTTGGCACTTCTAATTTGATCCCAAATTTCCCCTGTGAGAGGTTCACATCAGGTGTGACCTCACAACCCTTCAAGTTGATGTGATGCACTGGATTTGTGCCAATATCTCCACGTTCCTTGTATAGGTATAATTGGAGATCCTTACAAGTAAACCAATACCTCTTGAAGGACTTCAAGGTGAACTTCTTCGGCCTGAAAAAAAAGCAAATTCAATCAGCCTCATCAGTCACGACAGAATGATGCATTGACAAGTCAACATATAGAAAAAACCAAAACAAGGGCTTATAGCCTGATTCCTGACACTTCCATCTTCCTTCAGCTCATTACAAGCAATTAAAAAATGTTCCTATAGCAAGGTGAACTAGAGTTACCTTCAGTAAGCAACCACTAAGCACTTCAGTATTATCCTTCAACTAGAAATGCAGACAAAAAGGAAAGATGCAGTTGAAAACTCACTTCATGAACCTCAAGTAATCAGACAGTTCAGGGATCTGGGTAATATCATTGAGACCTGAAGAGATAGCAGTTCCCTCAAGGGAGGTTTGCAGGTCAGTGAGTGCAGCATCAATATCATCATCTGCTGTGTTGTTAGCATCTGACTGTGGCATATTGGCCTGCAAATTCACTTGAAGCTGTTGTTGAAGAAATCAAATGATATCAGATATTTGATCACTTCTGATGGTGAGTTGAGCAAGAAAAGACCAACATACCTGCAAAGCAGCAAACATGAGCATTTCCTCTTCAGTGCAGTCAATCTCTTCATCCAAAAGTTGCCACTTGGCTTGCTCAAATATCTGATTGATCCTCACAGCATCATACTTGGGATTCAGGTCGTAAAAAGAGTAAAACTTGTATCTCAGGAGAAGAGTATTATATTCTTCTATCCCTTGCTCCATGATGGACAGTGAAGAGTCCAACCATCTATGTCAATATGAGCAATGAGTACCCTATTTTCGGAAATGGTAAATGAAGCTGCACATTATCTGAGACTCACGCGACATTCATGCGTGCCCGTTCAACAAGGCTCTTGGGTCTGACAAGGGAAGCCTTGGCCTCATCACTGGGAAGGGGACTTCGTGCAAGGGAATTCTCCGATGACCCATTCAGGCCATCAAAGCTTGTATGCATGGTTCCGTTCATTGTATTGTAGGGAGAGTAGTTAGGGGTGTGATTACCAACTCTCCATGTTCCACTCTGAAAACCCACACCAATAGGGCAAAGAGATGCTTAGTGAAAAGGGGAAAATGGGATGTAAGAAGATAAAAGCTTGTCAATGTGTACCGTATTCATAGGAGAGCCGATGGGAGTGCCTACAAAAGATCGGTGACTCCTATCTAAGCTGTTGGTGGAGTTGTTGGCAGAGTTGCCTTTCTGGGCAGCAATGAAAGTGTTTGTGTCAGCACCAGCTGGACGATTGTAGGAACGACGCCTGTTGGGATTGCTCACATAATTGTATCTGAGATCATCAGGATACAGGGGCTTCTGCAGGCTCAGTTCCTCTGGGTGTCGGATTCCTGCAATGTACCAATTCCTGATTTTAAAAATGCTCTTCTCTTGCAAAAAAAAAAAATTCAATTTCCTCCACATGAACAGTTTGCAGGACTTATTGTCACAATGCTGCATTATCAAGTCAGTCATTCAATGCAGGCTTTGAGAATTTATTGCTGCTCAAGAATCTACTGCTGAAGGGCATGACTAAAACAGGTCAATGAGTGATTCCATCATGGAAGCTATTTTACTATAGGTGAAGAGAAGTTGAGAAACTATGCAGTAGGCTACAATGCTTTGAATTAATGAAGATAGGATTAATCAAAACCATAAAAAGTACTTGGCCATTTCCCTAAATGACTCCCTAAATATTTCAACCATTCAAGTTTCAGAAAAAAGATGTCCAACAGTGTTTAGTTATTATCAACCCTCCTTTTGGTATGGTGATGTTAGCTTTTAGCAAAAAAAATTTCTCTTAGACTCTGTTATGGACAATGAAGAAGCATCTACTCAACTATCATGCTGGCAACTTTCAAAAATCAAATGCAAAGGGATATTATAAAGTGCAATTGCACTCTCTTCCAAGTACCAATATATTTTTTTTCCCAGGCTGTTGCTGGTGGATTGTGCAAGAAGGGAAATTTTCAGTCCCTGTCATGGATGCTACTTGAAGGTTTAGCTTCAATGGACTAATTTTTCAAAGAGCTTGGGGGTTATGGTATAGCCTGGGGTTAACAGCTCCCTAGTAGGCTTTAAAAAAAATTTGAAATATGAAAACTTTTCGCATTACACAAGGTGATCAAGCGTGCGCAATAAATGCAATGCCTCCCATATCAAATGGTGGGAATCCACTTTGAGATAAAGGTCGGGGTCTCCCTCATTAGAACCACATCAAGGGAGAAAGATAGAAAGGAGGGATAAGGAAAGGGGAAGGCTCCACGCAGGCCCTTGAAGCACTTGTCACATTCCTCAGATTAACCGGAATAATCCATTTTTCATCCTTGAGTAGTAGATAGAGCGGGATTCGTAAGAAGTTCCCCAATGCCTGCCTTCCTCTCGGTGCATGAGTGTGATACCAATTTAATCCCGGACTGGTTTTTCCCGTTTTCTCCCATCTCATTCCTTCTTGTTACTATTCTCTCCCTATAGGCAGGTCCTCCCAAGTACAAGCAGCAACCTACCGAGTTCCTTGCAGAGGATTATGACGGCTTTGAAGACCTTGACAGAGAAGTCCACCCGGACGTCCAAATAACGAAGGTCGGGCAGCTGGATGCGAAGCATTTTGTGCATGGGCGTGAAGTGCAGCTGGGCGTCCGCCTGGACGCTGTACTGGTCCAACGTGGATCGGGTCCGGGTCAGCCATTTGTTCCTTTCCGGCCACCATAATCCGTGGTCCGACCAATCCACCGCGATATCTGCGAAACAAAGATAGCGATTTTTTAAAATTACTTTTGTCTTTCCTCAATAATCCTGGATCGCTGATAACATTTGGATGTAATCCAGGAAACGGAGGTGGGGGGGGGGGGGGGGGAAGGCAGTACATATCACAACGGCGATGATTCGTGCCAATCTAAATCTCATTTTTCCGGAAATAAAACCACGCATTTATCTTTTTCTTGCTTTGTTCTAAGATTTCCGGCATTAGGGTAATTCGAAGGCCAATTGAATGAATGATGCAACGCAAGGATTTCCGCTCTAACAGGACGGCGAACGACGTCAACAACTGAGTGTGGAATGAACCACGTGCTGAGAGGAGCGAGAATGAGAACATCTGCGGGAACATTCTGCCACGTTTTACTTCCTCCCACTCCGTTCTTCTCCGTTCTCCGTTCTTGGCCTGGGAGGAGCCGAGATGACTTCACTGCAGAGGAAGTGGGCGGACCTCATGTTCATTTCATTATTGAAACATGAGCTGGTAATTGCAGCGCGCAGGGCCAGCCAAGGCAAGGGTCTCTTTCTGAGAAAGGAACCTGCTGTGGCTGTTGTTCATTCCCATCGGGTCCCTGCATGACCCTGCCCTACATTCTCGTACAGGGGAGAGAGAGAGAGAGAGAGAAGAGAAAAACAATGCAAGGTAAGGGGAGATGAGGATGAGGCAGTCAGGCAGGAGGGGAAAAAGATGCATTGTGGCTTGGATATCGCCTGTCTGCATCGACGTTTTTTCCCTCTCTTCCTCGATGGCATCCTGGATCCTGGATGCCATGCACCTGACACACGCGATGTGAACTCGATTTCGCAATTTTTTTTCTCTCTCTAGGATCCACGCCATCCCAACTGCTCGCCAACGAAGATAGTTCAGGCAGCATCCTCGTGTCTGGAGGTAGGGTCCTCGTTGAATAATTCATCTCTATCTCTCTTCTCGTCGGGGTGCCTCCGTGTTATTAAACACGGATGGAACGCAGCACTGGACTTCCATTTCAGACCGATCAGCTCGGATTCTCTCTCTCTCTCCCCTCCCCCGCAATATCTGGCAAACATCCGGGAAATTCGAGATGCCTCACTTCAAGCACCCGATCATCCGTTCTCGATCAGACAAACACTTGGAACGGGTGCCAAGGCAAAGAGGAGGGAAAGGGGGAAACTGGGACGACAGAGGACTGACTTCACCCGAGGCAGGAACCAAAACACGTGCTTAGGCCATGACTCTTCGCGTGCAAGAGGCACACTTTCATCATTATACTCGTAATGGAACTACCTAGTTGCTTCACACACCAGGTGTCGACAGCAACGCGTAGCTTCATTCTACTGGCAGTCAAGAAATAGATGTGACAAGCGAAATGAAAGAGGAACAAACGGTATATTTCCCCATTTCTTTTTCTCCCGCACGGACTGGGGAATGTAGCCGCCCTGGGAGAAGTCAAGCACTCTCGTTCGCAGTGGCTTTGATGGAGGACAGTCCTTTCCAATCTTTCATCTCTCGCGGAAATCCATTTCCTTTTCCCCTACTTTCTCGCTGTCAAATCGAATCCAAACGGAAATCTGAGAGTCGGATGGAGAAGACTGAATGCTTGGGGTATGGTGTAGCCCACAGCCCTGTTAGCGAAGGAGGAACAAACCCTTGCTTCGCCATGCAAGGCAGGCTACGCTAGAGTAAATACACCTCACCTCTCCCCGTCTAAAATTCCCGTCCCCTGTCAACACACATAAATGGCTCGCATCACCTTGAGGAGAACGACAGCGGATACAGGGGATGGAGTGAAAATTCCTGACGGCTGAGATATATTTCCGGGGGAATCACCTTGCTATCTCGAGCAGGGAGAAATGCCTATTCATGCCAGTAATGATGTTATCATGATCGTGTCCAGGCCCACACACCCTGCACGACTCTTCTTCATTCGTGTCAAGGATTTGAAAGGGTCGGCCATTGCTCAACCCTTATCAACTCCCACTCATAAGCTATTGTCGAATGAGCTCTATATGCTATCAAATCTATTATGTTTTCACGTGCACTCACATTCATACCGTTCGTGGAACAGTAAGGATCAGTATCTCCTTTAATCATTCAATAGGATAGAAAAATAAAATAAAATAAAAGTAAAGAAGACCGAGATCCTTGGGACAATTATTCCGCTTCCATGAGAGCGGATCCGGGAATAAGTCATTCATATTGCATGAGATGAAAAGAGCCTGCAGTGAGATGCGCTGTGGTCGCTGTTCCCACGCGCGTGTTTCCCAAGGTTGATGTGAGGCTGGAGATAGGAATACGATGAGGCTATCCCACACACACAAGCGTCTAGGGAGACGTGAAGCCCAACCCACAACAGGCGGATATTTCACGTTAATAGCGGCCGTACCTGGAACCATCCATCAACATGCCATAATGCCACCACCTCACCATGCAGTGAAGTCGCTCCATTACGAGCCCTGTGGCCTGTAGACATTCCTCTGTCTGGCGCCTACTTAACGTCCATCTCCCGTCAAAAAAGGAGTCTTGGCCCTTCATTATGGAAAGAAATTATTATTCCATCCAGTTCTGCTGTATCGGGCGTGGAAAAATTCCCTGGGAGGAGCGAGGGAAGCATGAAGGAGGAAACGGGAAAAGGAGAAGAAACAGCTCCTGACTTCATGGGAATACACGCTCATCACAGTCACGGCATGGTTGGTGACTGAATAAAATAGAAGGCGGATGCGGGTCACGAGAGAGAGAGGAATTCGACCTGAAGACGGACTTGACTTACTTAGCGATAGACAGACAGACGAGTCCAGCAGCAGTAGAGAAAACCGTCACGCCACTGGACATTGACGACATCAGCGGAGGCCCTACGGCTACAAGTCTACCAAGTCCTGCATGACCGAAATACCTGTCGAGGACACATCCGAACTCAGTCAAGACCTGCTTTCCCCTTCCACCGTACGATATCCATCTCATCTTCCCTCTTATCAAAGACGGCTCTCCCGCAAACCCCTCCGTCTGGTTGGGCCATTAAAAATATTTTTGACCCAGGCGCGTTCGACCTTCCTGTCAGTGTCAAAGGAATTCCTTTCGACGACAGACTGATCGTTTGAAACTTCTCTGAGCGTGAAATATTAATACTCGCACGTGGGGTCATGTGTTCGTTCATTATGTCGGCATACAAAGACGCAGGAGAGAAGAAAGACGTGCATGGGAATCTCTCAGCTGCTGGAGGAAGGCCAGGCCAGAGAGAGAAAGATGCTTGCTCAATCCCGATGACGTCAACCAGAGAAAACAAACATTCCTATGCTGACGGACAAAGAGCTGAAAATTCACCGGGTAAACTCGTGCCCTAGGGAATGTCTCCGTCCTCCGTGGACATGTCTAGGCATAGAATCCACGGCATAATAGCAGGACTGCATCAAGATGGCACTGCGATAAGCAATCAGCTTCGATACATCAAATTTAATCAGAGTTGAAAGCTCCAGTTCGTTCCAACCCAGAAAGGAATCTCCATTAGAAGAACGAGCGAAAACGCCCATTGCCACGAGCTCTTGATCTACCTTTACACCACGGAATCGTACACGCCCCGGTCGTTCGTTTTGTACGTAGTGCATTTATGGCTATGGAATGACATCCGTACCCGGTTTACGGACCGGTCATCCTACCTGGCTAGGTTAATGGACGTCTCCCACGTGTGGAGGAAGAGGCAACCATCCCATAGTCTTTATTAGAGAATGGGCGTTGCCTCCATGTCTGCATCATCGCTCAAAACGAGTAGCACAGGCAAGGAGGACGCCATCAACCACCCAGGCTTACGTCCCTCGCGCATGCAAACATGTTTCTTTCCTATCGCTTATGAGACATCTCTTCATGATGAGGCAGCAAACCCCGTTACCCCACTGGTTCTAATGTCGACAATAATCCTGGTTTTTCGAAAATTGTTATTTTTGACCTGAACTTGCTAAATCATGAAAGGCACCGGGAAGTCAGAACAGGCTTGCTCTGTATCACGATATCTCGCCTGGCAGGAAACTGAACTTCCGTCAAGGAAGGCCAAATAAGGAAATGTCAGCCATGGAATGTGTGTATAATGTATGACACAATCCGGTGAAGAATCCTATACGCAGAATGATGATTCAAAAGGATGAACCGTCGATGATCTCACCTGCTTAATACCGGATCTTGAAATCCTCGCAAAAGCCTGAAGGCAAGAGTGAGAACTTCTCATTTATCACAAGTACTACGTCTGATGTGAAAATTCAGTACCGACTATGGAATCAGCAATCGATTTGATTGCTATAAATTACAGCAATCACGAACGTTCCTTCATCCATTACAATGAGACAAGCCATGGGTGAGGAGCATTCAAACGTGACTACGCAATCAAACCCGGCACAATATTTCAGGATCGCCATAACATTACCTCAAGGGAAAAAGTCACAAACATGTGCGAGTATCGATGACATACCAGAATGACATTCTTTTCGATGTCGAACTAATCTGAATCTTTAATGGTTTTATTAGCGCACGATTGCGCTAATGAAATTGGCTACAAATCAGAATGGGAAGGGGGAAAACTCCAGGTAGAAGAACAGTGTTAGGGTACGTCATGGGCAGGTCTATATATTTCTTCCGATCTCCTCAGGCTCCTCTATTATCTTATCTGACTTATCTCCCCGGTATTTCCGTGCAGAGGGAGGAGTCGTATTCGGCAACGTGTGAGAGAGCACTGGTATTGTCAATATTTACTACTACGGAGGAGAGGGGGAGGATGTTACCTGAATTCGAGCGGGAATATGAGGAGGGGGGGAAACAAAGAGCCAGCAGGAAGAACAGAAACAGTGCGCGACACCCACCCCCGCGTTGCAAAAATAGAGATTTTTCTGGGCCTCCATCATTTTTTGAATGCCTGCCAGGCTTGAATACATCTCAGGGGCAAGTCAAGTCGAGGGGGTTAGGGAAGCTGTCGTGACTATTGCCAATTGCATCTCCTCACGCCATAATGATCACTCTCTTCGGTGAATGAAGTAGGAGGAAGGAAAAAATAAATAAAAGAGGTAAGAGAAAGCAAAAGAAACCCCTCCCATGTAAGTAGAGGCCGGGATTCACGCACGAGCCATTTATCCTGTTGCACAGCGAATCCGTTAGTTGGCATTATTACTTGGCTCTCAAGCTCGAGGAGAGGGCGGAGGGGAAGAAGAAGATAAGC